CAGGATCTCAGGGACACCCTGCTTCTGCCACTGCCTTTTGGATTAAGAGGGTGCATTGGATATTCTTGGGTGTTTGTGACGGTATTTCCTGTCAAACCAGCCTCCTACCTCTTTTTGTCAGCACTGAAATAGGAGGGAGATTATTTTTTAAATCACTCATCATCACATTCACAGGGAAAATCTGGAATAGGAGGGTAGAATCTCAAAAAAAAAAAGTGAAAGAAAAAAGAAGACAGGGAGAAAGCAGGCAGTGGGAGTTGGAGACACTTTTTTTTTCTTTATTTAAAAATAAAGATGCAGCCCTAATTGTTGGGAGAGCTGGCCCAGGCAGGCGAGTTGACTGTGAACTTGTACTAAAGCGTGCTCTGCTGGCGATTCCTAGGGTGTGCAGATTTATCTTCTCTGCATTTACTTAACCCGGCAGTGAACTGCACTGGCGTCATTTGTTAGGCGATGACAGACTTCACCTCCAGCAAGGGCTGCTTCACAAAATCGCAATAATTACCCAATAACCTTCATAACAAATATTATTATTGAAAAGACCGGTTTGTGGGGAGGGGACCTGGTGGAAGAAGGACAGCTTTCTTTGTGAAAACCACTAAACAAAACAGACCTAGGCAGACCTTCCAGTTCTGGGGTTTACAATGGCCAGGACTGTGCTTCCCCTCTCCTATGTGGGTGGGAACCTCGGCTGACCCCCTCAGCCTTGTCCGGAAGCCCCGTTTATAGGTTTGTCATTGGCTAGAAAGAAATTCTGCCTTAGAAGCCAAAGGGATGGAGCCCACAACATTCTGCACTCTCCATGGTGGGCAAACCTCAGACAGACTCCCGAGCTAAGGCAGGAGAGAGGCTTCGAAGGGCATCTTTTAAGCTAAAAGGATTGTTTTCCTCTTTAATAGCCCATCTTTCAGGATGTAATTTGCTCTCCCCTCACTAATTGCTTGGATATAATACTCTTCACATCTCAACAAACGAACATGACTCTGTTTCTGGTAGAAAATTCTGTCCTGCTCTCCCTGGGCCGCCAACAATGAAGCAGGGGAAAGAGCAGGAGAAAAGGAATCTCGGCATAATGTTGTGAAATTAGACCATGGAAACCCTAACAAACCCCTAAGTAATTGTGACCAGAAGCTTCCTATTATATTTATAGTTCAGGAAATATTGTCTCTTCAGCTTGTAGAAACAAACGAGGCCCTGCACATACTGGACACCTTCTCCTTTTACAACATGAGGAGCACAGACACTCCTGCCACCGGCTGAGGCTGGATGTCTTCATAAAGCCCTTAATGACAGAGATTTTTTTCTAAGTAAGTTCCTCTGCAAAAACACCACCAAAGAATGCACAAGAAGAAATAACTTATCTACAAAATGAGCAGATAACCAGCCATCCTCTTTACTATGCTTACTATGAAAATAGGAAGAAAAAAATGTCTCCAATAACACTCACATAGGTCTGACTGGATGCTGTATTTTTATAAAAAGTCATTTAACTCCTTGTGAGTTAACCTGCTCTCTTAGGAACTCTGAACTTTTATGAAGATTACAACAGACAGAAATAAGCAAGCTGATAATATATATAGCCAGTATTTTTTTTTTTTTTTTTTTTTTTTTTTTTTTTAGTTCATGGAAAAGATTCTCTACATTGGGTAATGCTGGATATCGGCCCAACAACCTTTCTGCCCATTCCCACACCCAGGTTGGGATGTGGCCACGGAGGTGGTGTGGACGGTTCCTCCGGGCAAGTTATTCAAGTGAACCTGCCAGAAGCCCTATCGCTCTTTTTTTCCCTGCTACTAATTTTAGTCACCAAGAAATCACTCAAGCAAGATCACCAAATGCGTAACTAAAATAAAACCTTAACCCAATATTTTCCAGGAAAGAACTCAAAAGTCAGAGTAGCAAAACAAAGACTCCAGAATTCTCACAGACACACAAAATGACAAAAGAGAACCCAAATAGAGTTTATATTCTGGTTCCCACTAAGATGCAGACACATCTTCCTGAGTGCTGAAATATCAGTACTTTAATAGGTCACGCAGGATGACTTCAGGGATTTGCCTTGCCAGTATTTCAGAGAAGTGGGACTTGTGGGAGGGTTTTGATTTTTCAAAAAACTTCCCAGGTTTGTTTTTTGGACCTCTGACTTTGGGGACAACTGTTGGACCTATGCTGAGTTTAAGTGGCCTCTGCACAATAAAGTTTGTTGAAATTCCAAAACTATACCTTAATTTTTTTTTTCACTTTAAGCACTCAGTAAATATCTTTACCAATTAGCACTTGCAGAAGACTATCTAGCTCCTAAGGAGAAAAGCATTTGGAGACAGAAGGTCCTATTTTTTTTTTTTTATTTCATTTCTGAGCTAGAGAATTTGGTCTAATTGTTCAGAGGGAGTGGTGGGAAATCTGCTAGGTCCCTTGTGGGCACCCATCCAGAAAAAGACCCCTGGACAGGCCACAGCATCCCCAGTCACTTTGCCACTGAAGAATGTGAAGGTTTGGGGCCAGAGGGGGTGGTGGCTGAGGCCAAGTTGGAACTGTACCCAGGAAAAATTTATTTCACCTTACTTCACTGTAGGTGCAATATTGGGAACTGTTTTGGAAATCATAGATTATGTAAATTTCCTGGGATCAAACAGAAAGAGCAGCTAACAAAAGAAAGGCGGAAATCTCCTACTGACAAACGACCAATTTCTTCCCTAAACTATCCTTTATGACGTGTCAGGAAAAACAACCTAATGGCTCTGGGGACTTTTAAGTTGGGCATTGAAGACACCTCGACTTCCCCCCAAACTTTAGGGCACAGTTTGGAAGACAGAATTTGCCTGTATGTTGAGGGGGAATAAATTTCTCTAATCTTTAGTGTTACCTAAGGGGATCCCTAAGTTGCCTTTTGAGCGTCCTGTGCCTGCAAGTCTTAATTCTACAAAGGAGGAGAGGAAAAGGAAAGAAGAGAGGGAGAAGAAAGGGAAGGCGGAAGAAAAGAAAGCGCTTTAACTCCTTTCATTTAGCCTGGGGAGTCAAAGACTAAAGTTAAATCCGGCCATAAAGTTTATTGCTTCAGACTCACAGGCGGGTGAGAACAGTCCCACCGAAATAAAAAGAACGCGCAGGCAAACAAGGTTCAGGGCCTGGTCCCCGGTGCGGGGGGAGGGGATGGTGAGCCCTCCCCCCAGGTGGGGACCCGCAGTCCCCACAGTCCTGGGCTCGGCCTGGCAACCCAGGGGCCCAGCCTGGAGGTGCGGCCCGCGCCTCGCCGGCTTCTGCCCCCTCCGGCTCTCTCACGAGCCGGCCCGAAACTCGGCCCCGAAGGCAGCCGTCTCAATTCAGTGCTGCCAAATGACCCCGGCCCGCGAAGACATATTGCCACAGCCCGGTAAGGAATCCCGCCAGAGTCCGCCTCGGCCCTGCCTGGGCCTTTCTTTCAAACTCCAAGCACTCCTCAGCGCAGCGCGGCCCTCGGCGCCCGCGGCCGGCGCCCCACAGTCTCCCAGCCCCCACCCTAGGGCTCCGCTACCCCTCGACAAGCCAGCCCCGCCAGCCCCGGAATGGGGAGCGGCCTTGCCAAGTCTCCGCACACAGGCCCATTCGAACACAAAAATCATCTTTTGCACGCCGGCGAGAGCAGCGGAAGTCATTAACATTCGCGGTTGTGCAGCAATTAAAGTTAGGCCTGGGGACGCGGCGGCCACAGGCGCTTTTCACCGGGGTGCCTCCGCAGAGCTGGCTCCTGGCGCTGCTAATGTGGGCAGAGGAAAAGTTGGCTCTGCCCTTTTGAATTCAGAGGCAACCTCAGAGTTATTGAACCAGAGAGAGAGAGAGAGAGAGAGAGAGAGATCGAGGAAGAAAGTTTTCAGAGTACAAATAAACTTGAAAGCGCTCAGGAGGCGAGCTTACCTTAACTCGGAGGGAGCCATTTTTCAGAGAGTTTTGAGAACTTGTGGTTTGGACACTTCTGGACCTAAAATTGACCATTTGAATGACCAGGCGGCACACATAGCCTGCAAAAGAGTCAAATGGAGTCCAGCGTCAGTGAGATTATATGTTATGTGGTATATAATGTTGGATGTCAACTCCCCAAAACCATAAAACTTACTTTAATGGCCCCACGTGACGTTTTATAGCCAGTGAGCCGATCTGTCTGTGCTATGGATGATTTTACGATCTAATTCATAGACAAAACCCTATTCATTTGGCACCCAAATGTCATATAGCCGGAACTGGGGCTTATAAAGTTTACTGTTTTATAACTTTTAAAAGGAAAGACGGCATCAGTGTAAGCAGTCGGTAAATGTGCAAATCTCTAGTTGCGCTTTAGCTGCTCTGAGGAGTTTCCCAATCGAGCTAGGATGGGGTAAGTACCTTCCATTTGTAGCAAATTAATTGTAGCAAAAGAAGCCAACTGGGCTCAGGGTGAGGAATGGGAAGGGATGCCTGGGTGGGTTAGGGGCAGAGGGTTTGGGAGCCACAGCCTGGTGCAGCAGCCTCTTCAGCAAGTGGAGGCCTAGGATGACCTTAGGAAAGAGGCAGCATCTGTGTGGGCCCTGAGGGCTGGTAACAAAGCCCTGTGCTTTTGCTCCTTTCTCTCTCTTCCTCTTTTTTTTGTACCCAGCAAGTTATCTTGGTTTCCTCAGAGATGGGCAGGTTGGACTCAGGCTTTGGAACCACCTACAGCTTTTCCACCTTCTGCCCTGAACTCTAATGGGTCAGAGTTAGGGAGGTCGCGGGTCAGGGTGTTGTTGGTCTGAGGTCTCCTTGCACAGGCAGGCTGCTCAGGTAGCCTCAGATTCACTGCCTTCCAGCACTGGACAGACAGAAGAGCAGAAAGAGCCGCTTGCTATTTTGGCACAAACCAGACCAAGAGAACTTACAATAGAAAGTTTATTTTTTTGTTTCCAGTCAGTATTTTTTCCTTAAAAACAAATACAAAAAAAAAAAAAAAAGCTGATCACAGTTTGCTTAAACAGCCAGACTTGGACAATATTTGTAACTTTGTTCACAAAAACATACATCACTGAAGCTGCGCTTATGAGAGCCACTTCCAGAGTTCGTGCAAAGGGTCCTACAAAGGCACGCAGGGACACACCGCTCGGAGTCACAGTTTTCGTCACAGAGCCACTAGTCACTACACGTCAAACAAGTTAAGTTGTGTCTCATCAAGTCACCTCTACAACAGCATTAATTACACAAGGAATATAGGTAGTTTGAATAAAAATATCTTTAACAGCTTGGAGCTATTCAGACAGGAACACTTCCACTCACATGCACAGTTAAACAACTGGAGTGCAACACACAACATTGGCACTAAACGAGGTTGAAGGGGGACTTTTTGTGTGTTTTTTTTTCTCTTTTTTGTTATAGTTACTTCAAGTAACACAGCTTGCTTCATATAAATAAGTTAAAACATCTATTTTTTTTTTTCAAGACAAAGCCATTCAGGACAAAGAGATGAACAGAAAGCAGATCTACTTATACAGGCGCTATAATGGCAATAAACAGGCTCATGATTAAAAGATGAATTAGGGCAATGAGAACAGGGCTTCTTCACAGAAGGAACACAAGGGAGTTTCAGAAAGTCACCTTAGTACTGACACTACGCGGGATCCGCTAATACTGCTCAGTACTTTAAACGCTCAAATACTCAGGGGCGGAAGGCCCCTCCCGCCGCCGCCATGCTCATGCTTTTCAGCTTATTATCTTTTTTCCACTTCATTCTCCGGTTTTGGAACCAGATTTTAATTTGTCTCTCGGAGAGGCAAAGAGCATGTGCTATTTCAATCCTTCTTCGGCGGGTCAGGTAGCGGTTGAAGTGGAACTCCTTCTCCAGCTCCAGGGTCTGGTAGCGCGTGTAGGCCGTCCGGGCCCTTTTGCCTTCCGGGCCGCCTATGTTGTCTGCAACAGAAAAGTCGGCGATTTAGCCACCAACTCCTCAGTCCCTGGTTACCCAAGTCGAGCTAGGGTCCTGAGCAGGGAACAGGGGAGAAAAGCTCAACAAGTCCTCTCTCCTCGCCCGCCCACCCCTCCAGAATTTCCTTCCCTCTTCCTTTCTAGAGAGAAAACAATACAATTTGGACTCTGGGAACAATCGGCCCATCTGAGGCTGGAGCCGCGTCCCGGAGGATCGCCCGGCTTTCCTTCACCCCTCTCCTGCCCTCTGGCCCTGCCCCTGGCGTCCTGAGGCGGGGCACAGCCCTCCCAAGCAGCCCACCTCTCAGAAACCCACGGAAGCAAGGCCCTTTCCTGAGCGCCCAAGTGGCCTCCAGGTCACCCTCCCTTAAAGTTCCAGCCCCGCGAGCCGCCTTCTGTTCCAGCCTGCACGCTTGGGGCGCCTGCTTTCTTTTTCTTCCCTTTCCTGCTGTCCCTTCTGCTCCCAAACTTCAGAATCCCGCCGGCTCTCGCCTCGATTATTCCCCCCCAAGCCCCTTTTCGGGGACTCTAATTAGTAACGCTGTTTCCCCAGCGTAGCCCTCCTCATAAATTATCCGCCCTGACAAGCCCGATTCACGGCCCCTACTGCCATCCTCTACCTCTCTGCGCCCTGCTCGGCTGGCCTGACCCGGGAGCGCGTTCCGAGGCGCTGGGGTTCGATATGGGATTTTTCTTTTTCCCCCGGTTTCAACATCTAAACTTGCCTGGCCAGCGGCCCTTCTCCTCCCTCCTCCTCCCATTTGCGAGCGTTGGGCACTGCAGAGACCAGAAGGTGAATGGAGGAAGGCAGGGGAAGGAGAACGGCGGGGAGAGACTCCACAGGGCTGGGAGAGGCGAGACCAGGACAGAGATGGGGAGAGAGGGCGGTAAAGAAGAGAAGGGGGACCGAGAGCCGCGCCCCCCGCAGCCGCGTGGATTTAGAGAAAGGCTGGCTTTACCATGACTTATGTGCAGCTTGCGCATCCAGGGGTAGATCTGGGGTTGGGCGGGCGGCGCCGGGCTCGGCTCGCTCTGCGCGCTCGCCTGCTCGCTGCTGGCGGGGGCGTCCTCCTCGGCTCCGGACGCCGTGCCAACCCCCTCTCTGCTGCTGATGTGGGTGCTGCCGGCGTTGGCCGAGGCGCCGCTGGAGTTGCCCAGGGAGTTTTTCCCGCCGTGGTGGCTGTCGCTGCCGGGCGAGGGGGCCACGGCGGAGCAGGGCAGCGGGTCGGGCGGAGGCGAGTGCGTGGACGTGGCCGGCTGGCTGTACCTGGGCTCAGCAGGCGCCGCGCTGGCGCCGGCCGCGTAGCTGCGGGCGCGCTCCCCGGACCCAAAGTGGCCGGAGCCTGAGCGGCCGACGCTGAGATCCATGCCATTGTAGCCGTAGCCGTACCTGCCGGAGTGCATGCTCGCCGAGTCCCTGAATTGCTCGCTCACGGAACTATGATCTCCATAATTATGCAACTGGTAGTCCGGGCCATTTGGATAGCGACCGCAAAATGAGTTTACAAAATAAGAGCTCATTTGTTTTTTGATATGTGTGCTTGATTTGTGGCTCGCGGTCGTTTGTGCGTCTATAGCACCCTTGCACAATTTATGATGAATTATGGAAATGACTGGGACATGTACTTGGTTCCCTCCTACGTAGGCACCCAAATATGGGGTACGACTTCGAATCACGTGCTTTTGTTGTCCAGTCGTAAATCCTGCCTGATGACCTCTAGAGGTAAACTCGTGCACTAATGGGGGAGTTGGGTGGAGGCGAGAGGGGTGGCGCGCGCGCCCTAGGCGCGTGCCCGCCACCCGCCGCCGCCGTTCAGTCGGACTCGAGCGCCACCCGCTGGAGGCAGGGCGCATCGCTCCGCTTCCGACCCAGGGCTGCAAGGACCGGGGTCGAATTGAGGTTACAGCCCATTATGGCAAAATTATTGCATTTCCCTCTCAGTTCCATTAGGATGTACCAATTGTGAGGCCGTCAGCTGCCGATCGCGCGCCCGGCGAGGATGCAGAGGATTGGGGGGAGATGGTGACTTGGATTTTATTTACAATAACTTTATTTCCCCGCTGTGCAGCCCCTCTTATTTTTGTGTCGAGGTTGGGGTCGGTTCTGCCCGTCGTGCCAGAAGCTCTGAAATTTGAAAATACAGATATCACCTTCGGGGAAGGGGGGAGGCCGTTTAGCCAATTGGAGAAATAAATCCTGCCCGCAGCAGCCGCTACAATTACGGCTCTGTTTTTCTGTGAGTGCATGAGGGACAGTGTCCCTGCCGCTCTTAAATGACAGGCGTCTATTAAAGATAGCTTTTGTGTAGTGTTTCTCCGAGGCGAGGTCAAATTCCATACACTTTTATAACCGGAGTCGATTTTTCTTACGTGTAAATATGGTTTTCGTGTCATTAGTTCGCTATTTGATTTGCTTTAAGTATCCAATCTGGAGAATCTTCACCACCCGGTCCCTTTCCTCAAGGCAGCCGGGCCCCAAGTCGGAGGGTTCTCCGTGAACCCAGCGAGTGGGCCCAGACTCCCCGCAGCCACAGAAACTGCTTGGAGGCTGGGAATCCTTGGGCTGAATTATCAGGGTCTTGCTTAGACCTCCAGGAGCAAAATGAGGGTGCTAATGGAAGCATTTCGTGGCAGTGCCTAGTATCTTCTGTAGTTATTTTCCTGGGTCCTGAAAGACGAAAGTCAATCACAAATATAGCCGAAAGGCATGAGGGGTACTTCCCGCTGGAGGCTGAGCGTTGCAGGCACCCCTGGCACATTTGGAAACCAGGACTCTTGCCGTTCCCATGGCCCTGAGCCCCCTCCTTAGGTCTTGAAAGCTACTCTGGTAGCAGTGCAGGCATTATCGGAGGCGGGGATCCGGGGTCCGGGATCCAGGATCCGGGATCCAGAGCTGGAGTCTTCGGGAGCCCAGTCTCTCCGGGGGCTGTGAAGTTCCACCCGCGCCCAGGTTGGGTCGGCTCGGCTGAGGCTGCTTCTCTTCCACGGACGGTTGCGCGCGGGGCCGACAGACTAGGCTGTCTCAGGGCCCCCTTTGTTCCTCACGCTTCTTCCTGTCTAGGAGCGGCCTGGGATGCCACCGCAGTGCTGGGGCCCCAGCCTTTAGGCCCCCTCTTTCCAGTGGCCTGAGTCGATTTGGTGGTGACGTCCGGGACTTGGTGGCGAGGGACGGAGGTGAAAACGCCCAGACACCAAAAGGGGCTCGGCCCAGGTTCTTTCCTCTCCAGCACCCCCGCGTCCCGAGCTCAGGGGCATGCAAAGGCGCTAGCACAAGAGCCGGGGACGAATTCGGGGCGCGCCCTGGGATCCGGAGCCGGCTAGGGCAGCCTTGGAGAGCAGGACTGTATGTGCAGTGCGCCCCGCTCCACCGCTGGGATTGGCTGTGTGTAGGGTGTTTTTTTTTTTTTTTTTTTTTTGGTAAGAAATAAATGCTCAGGCGTTTGCAAAGCTCCCGGCTCCCCTGAAGCTGCAGAGGCCCCCCGGATGGGAGCAGGCGGGGGAGAAAAGTTGGGGAGCAGGCGAAGGCAAGGGGGCAAAGCCGAGGGAGGTTGCAGCGCTGGCCTGGTCCCTGCCCAGGCGTCTACTCGCCCGCCTTTGCCTCAGCCTCCTCCCCGCTGGGCTGTGTGGAATTGATGAGTTTATTTTCCTTTTTCCACTTCATGCGGCGGTTCTGGAACCAGATCTTGATCTGGCGCTCGGTGAGGCAGAGCGCGTTGGCGATCTCGATGCGGCGGCGCCGCGTCAGGTAACGGTTGAAGTGGAACTCCTTCTCCAGCTCCAGCGTCTGGTAGCGCGTGTAGGTCTGGCGGCCTCGGCGCCCGTGACTCCCATACACAGCACCTGCGGGTAGAAATGGCCGGGCGCCGGTGAGCCAGGATCCCGGCAGCCAAACCAGTCAGACCCGCGCCGGGATTCCCTGGCCTCTAAACTGGAAACCACCCGCCTCCACTCCAGCCTCTTTCGCTATGTCTAAGGCCAAAAGCCGGCAGGATAGGAGATTATTTCATACCAAGCGAGATGTTTTCCACCTAAAACAACTTGGAGTGAGAAATTACTGTTTTTGAAAAATCTGCTCTGTAAGAAAACCATTACAAGCCAAAGAATAGAATGAGCATTCTTAATTCGGGGTACCTGAGTCGTGTTTTTGTGGGAGTGTAGGGTGTGCGTCTGGAAGTGATGGGTGTGGAACCCTGTGAGTAAGGTGGACACTTGGAATTCACACACGGATCTCTGTGAAGGTGTTACTGTGGCCAGACATGACAGGACTCAACATGGTTTTCTTTTTTCTTTTGAAGATGAAAAATGGTCAGCCCTCTCAAATCTTTGCAAACTCCCCCCCCCCAATTGTATGGTCCTCCTGAGAAAAGCAGAGCTCCCTTGAAAAAACAAGTGGATCTTAAAGCAAAACACTATCAGTTTAAAAATCTGCATTAGGTTCTGCCCTGCTCCAAGGATTCTCTGTCAAATTTTTGGAAACCAGAGGCAAAGGGATGGAGCTATGGGCCATCTGGGGTTTCTGGAAATGTAGGACTGTGATGGGCTATCTGTTTTAGTACAAAAGGAGCCCATGGGTGGGGGGCTCCCCCCAAGCTGGGTGTGTGAGACCCAGGCAGGGCCTCAAAAGGAGGCAGAAGTTGGCTAAGAGTGAGCAGTTGAGTGGAAGGGGGAGGAGGGAAGGGAGGAGAAAGAAAAAATCCTGAGGCTGAGGATGTGGCCCTCCAAGGCTTTAGGGAGACACTAGGAGAGGCCAGATGAGAGCCTCTATCTATATAGGTTTCTGAAAGACAGAAAGGAGAGAAGTTGGGGAGTGAAGGGGAGTTACCAGTGATGGTTGCAGAAGGCCATCTCTGCTTGGGGATCTGAGCAGGGTGTTACCAGAGGGAAGTGTGGGCAGGCACTCCCTCCCATCCAGCCTAGCTGTCTGTTCAGGTGGCCCCTGTCACAGAGTCTCACACAGAGTGGCAGTGACCCCTCTCGATCCCCTAAGGTGTCACCTTACATGGATACTAGTGCCTTCACTCTGCCACAGCTTGATTGTCTCACTGGGAATGGTTGGTTTTTGTTTTTGTTTTTTAATCTCTTAAAAAAGCCAAAGAAACTTTGTTCATTCTCTCCTCCTTGCTTTCTATTTCCTCTTTCTACTTTCTCTGTCTCCTCCTTCCTTCCTCCTTTCCCTGCCCCTTTCCCCTTCTCCCTCTACTCGCTTGGGGGGGGGGGGGGCTGCAGGGAAATGCCTTACCCGCGCAGGAGTTCATCCGCTGCATCCAGGGGTAAACAGGGCTCGTGTACTTCCGGTCGGTGCCTTCGTCATGGAGGGCTTTGCCCGGCACGCTGCTGCTGTCGGGTTTGTACTGCTGCTCGGGAGAAAAGTGCAGGTAGTCCCCGGGGCCCCTCTGCTTGCCACTGCCCGAGGGCGAGGCGCCACTGAGGTCCTTATCAGAATAGAAACACGAGGCCCCGTACTCGTAGGACGCCCGGTTGCAGGCCAGGACCGAGTTGGACTGTTGGTAGAAACAAGGTGAGGTGTACGTCTTGTCCGGGAGGCTCGACGCCCCGTACGAGGCCGGGAAGGGCCTCAGCGCGTCGTAGCCGGCCGGGTAGAGGGGCAGCTGGCCCAAGAAGGAGTCCTGGCCGCTGGGCAGGCTCCCGGGGAAAGTGGGATTCACAAAATAGGAACTCATTTGCGCGCCCCTCTGCAGGACTGTGATTTGTTGTGTATTAGTACATCTGGCTATAACTATTAGTAGTCATCGAACTGGTTTGTTTCTGGATGGCCGAACGCCAAAAGCGACAGCCGCAAATCGCACCAGCTGACGCGGCGGCGGCCAATGGGAGCGAGCGCCGGAGCCCGCTCCCCGGGGACCGCGGCGACCGAGGCAGCAAAGTTACAAACAGCCCCCAGCCCGCCCGCCCGCCGCCCGCCCGGCAGATTAATGGGCGCGCACAGCCAGCCGGCCCGGCTCTCTTCCCGAACGCCAGCGGCGGGCACGGCCCGGGTAGAGGCGTGCGAATCAGGCCGGGGTAGGGGCACTAGAGTCCGGCCGCCGCAAAGGGCCCGCCAGGCCCGCTCCTTCCTCCTCCCCTTTCTGCCTGGTCGGATTTTGCTGGGGTTTCTTTCCAAACAGGAAAACTGACAGCCCCGCGCCCGGAGGGGCGGTGACAACGAAGGCTTTGCTCCCTATCGGCCTGCCCTCCCGGCAGGGCCCTGAGTTTGCCCCACCCTCTGCACTCCCCTACCGGTGGGTGCGGGTTCCAGAGCTGGAGAAGGGGGTCTGAGAACCCAGGCCTTCGCGCCCTGCTCCTCACTCCTGCACCTTAGGAATCGGGGCATCCCTTCCTGCTCTCCTTCCCCACCTCCAGCCAGGGCCTGGGCCTCGCTGCCGCGGAAGGCTCACCTCGAGCTGACCAGGATGCGGCCAAACGTCTTCCCCCGCGGGCCCCATCATCCCACATACAACACGTCTCCTTTGAGTCCCTACGGGCTCCCCCCTCCAATGGCCAGCGACTGTGAGGCCTCAAAGCACCCCACAAGCTGTGCGTCCCCGTCCCACCTTTGAACCCAGGAACTGAGAGACCAGAAACCACTGGCTTCAACAAGAAAGGGACCTACAGAGGAATGGCCTTGAGACCGAGCTCCGAAGCCGGCCGTGGGACCTGCTCCCCTCACCCAGCACTTGGGACTCGCCCTACCGACACCGACACCCGGACTGCTCAGAGCTGAGACAGATCCAGATGTGGAATCTCTGTCCTCATTCCGGAGGCCCAGCGACCCAAGGTCCCTGCCAAGCCA